CAAGTCAATGTAAACCACTGTCATACTGCATACAACGAACTGCTGCAATATTTAACATCTCATACAATTGATATAGCCTTAATCTGCGAGCCACCAGTAAATAAAGAAAACAGCGTTCGAACAATAACTGGCGTTCATAATTTTCAGTTTCCGGCAATCAACAGAAGAATAAAGTCGTGCATCTTAGTAAAAGAAACAGTAGGTGCAACACTAGGCATCTCGCAATTGTCCACACCAAATCTGAGCATCATAAAGCTCAACATTGGCCATCGCCAATTATTCGTTGGCAACGCATACGTTGAGCCTTTAGTGGATGAATATAATACTCTGAGCGCAATAAATAATTTTCTAATTACAACATCTTCCTCACTGCAGATCTTAGGCGGCGATTTAAATGGGTGGCACACTTCTTGGGGTTCAAATGCAGAAAATATTCGGGGAGCCGCTGTAGCCGATATTGCAGCTGCCAATAATATGGTAATCTGCAACGAAGGAAAAGTAGCCACTTTCACAGCCGTGCGCCATGGCGTGTCCGCTACGTCTATAGTGGACATAACTATGGCTTCAGAGAATCTCACACAGTACGTCGCGGAGTGGAGAGTCAACATCGAAGCAATTCAGAACTCTGCCACAATGCCATTACTTTCAAATTGGAGAAACGCGATAAAATCACAGCATCTAAGCGGACTTCTACCTATTTGTTCAATAATAAAACAGCAAAATGGCCTAAATTTCATGCCTGTCTTCAAAACAGTATTCAGAAGTCGAAAATACTTAGCACAAAGTATCAAAATTGTACCTCCATCGAAATCGATAATGTAGTTAAAAGCCTTACTGACAACGTAAGAAATATCAGGTAGCCTGCGTATCTCTAGACATAAAAGCCGCCTTCGACAACGCCTGGTGGCCAATGCTGCTAACTCAGCTTGCGCGTTACCAAATTCCCTCAAATATCTACAACCCCATACGAAGCTACCTCCAAGATGGCATGGTTAAACTAGAATATGCAGACGCTACAGCAAAAAAGAGTATGTCGAAGGGCGGTATCCAAGGGTCTATATGTGGTCCCATTTTCTGGAACATAATTCTGGACGATTTACTGTCTATGTCACTTCCGCATGGATGTGAAGTTCAAGCATTTGCCGACGACGTATTACTAACCCTCAGCGCAAAAACACTTGCAGAGCTTGAGTGCATGACAAACGCTTGTTTGAGTCAAATACATCAGTGGGGTTTTGATGTTCAGCTAACATTCGGGGAAGCTAAAACCCAAGAAATTGCATTCACACAAAAAGCTAGATCAGCGAGCTTGTGTATAAATGGTATTGCTATACCTTTGTAAAATCCATCAAACTTCTAGGAGTAGTAATAGATGAATATCTAATGTTTACAAACCATGTGCGGTATGCTATCGCTAAGACGCAACGTATATTCAAGAATCTGTGCAAATACGTTCGACCCACTTGGGGCATCCACGCCGAAAACGTGGTAGTCATATATCGACAAGTAGTGGAGCCGATGATTACATATGCCGCCGGTGTCTGGGGTCGTGCCACAAATTACTACTACATTCGTCGACTTCTTCGATCATTCCAAAGGAGTTTCGCTATAAAAGCAATACGAGCTTTTCACACAGTATCTGCAACATCGGCTTTAGCACTATCTGGTTTTGCACCAATACATCTAAAAGTAGCAGAAGCGAGCAAAATGTATGAAGTGAAAAGAACAGGCTCTCTGAATAAAATACTTACAGAAGTCACTTTGCAGAAAAGCATCCGTCCGCATCGCTTACTACACCCAGGACAGCGACAAACTATCGACTACAGCATGGTAAATCAACAGGCGCAAATTGATTCATCAACAACAGATGATACTACTCAAATTTTCACCGATGGAAGCAAACTAGAAACGGATGAATGCGGCTCCGCCTTTGTTGTTTTTCAACCCAATGGTATCCAATACAAGCAAAGATTTAAGTTACATAATGTCTGCACTGTCTTTCAAGCCGAGGCGTTTGCTATAGACACAGCTTTGGCATGGTCGCAGATGCACTTAGCCACACACAACCTACATATTCTTAGTGACAGCCAATCGTGTCTCCAAGCCATAAAAAATCGAAGTAACACGACTCCGCTAATTGCCTCTATACACGAACGCTTGTACCAACTTCGCCAAAGCCATATCATCGAGTTTTCCTGGATTAAGGCTCACATCGGTATCATGGGAAACGAACTTGCAGACGAAGCAGCCAAAGAAGCCGCAGCTCTAATAACAAATCCGGTATATACAGAATTTCCACTCAGTTACGCCAAGCGTCATATAAATCAAGAAACGACTCAAGCCTGGCATCGTGATTTTATCGAGGAATCAACCGGAAGTGGCACAAAAATATTCTTTCAGTCACCCTCGGAAGCGGAAGTTTACAGCCAAAAGTTGGGTATTTCTTTTGAAATGACTCAATGCTTAACAGGCCACAGTTTCTGCAAGGCGTATTTAAAACGCTTTAAAATTATCGAAGAAGATAGCTGTCCATGTGACTCATCAACATCGCAAACAATTAGTCACCTTCTATTGGAGTGTCCCCGCTACGAAAGAGCCAGAAGATCCCACACAGTCCTCTGTGAAGAATTTAACATACAACGATTTAGCATTAAGGAAATCGCTAGATATAAACAACTAATAGAATCATTTAATAATTTCGTATACATTGTCATTAGTTCCCTTAAAAGTTTTAATGCCCAGATTACAATCAGATAAACCTTCATTGTTTGCTAAGTAAAATATAGAAATGAACTCTACATCCCCGCCTGTATCCAATCGCAGGCAGTATTATTTCGACCAATTTCGCAAGCCAATTATAACACATTGTAAAAATACCAAAGGATTACCACTGACAAAATTTATTAGATTAAGAATTAAATATTGTTAACACAAAGCTGAAATAAATACACTACTCGAAGCGCGGCCAGCGTGAAGAGACCAAAGAAAAAAAATCTATATCTATATCTATATCTATATCTATATCTATATCTATATCT